ATCGAATTTTATCGATATTTTGGTCTTTTTATATGAACTTTTCATGCAACAATACGCTATGGATGAAAAATGAAAAAAGATAGACAAGAAAAAAATGCAATAAATTTTTGAAACTGAAAAAACTCAAATGAAAAAAATTTTTCCGGTCAATATAAATCAAATATAAATCGATTTTAAATCGATCCAAATCGATTAACCAAGTACAATTTACGAACTTAAATGGATTTTAAATCGATTTAAATCGATCTTTTTGAAAATTTTAAATCGATCTAAATCAATTTTCATCTTTTTTTTATCTTTGTACTTTTTTCATTCTGAAATTGACCTAAATTTAATCAACGTACTTTTTTCATACAAAAATTGATTCTAATCCATTTTTGTCAGTGCGGGAATGTATGTTTCACGATCTTTAATTGACTTTATATCGATTTAAACTGATCTTTTTTGAAAACTTTGGATCAATTCAAGAGTCTAAAAAGTCGATTTAAGTCGATTTGGATGGATTTTTTTTCTTCTTATAATCCATCGGAAAGGCACTTAATTCCATTTTTAATTGATTCAAATCAATCTTATTTAAAAAATTGGAATCGATTTGAGTCTTTTTAAATTCAATTTAAATCGATTTGGAAGGATTTTCAGACTCCTTAAATTCATTTTTTTTGCTAACACGGTAAAAAACTCTTAAGTAAAAATAGTTGCCCGCACTGACAGAAATGATTTCCGGTTAATTTAAATTGAATTTAAATCGATTTTAAATTGATCCAATTCGATTAATCATGCACAATTTACGAACTTAAAAGGATTTTGAATCGATTTAAATCGATGTTTTTTGAAAATTTCAAAACGATATAAGTGTCTAAAAATCGATTTGAATCGATTTCGATGGATTTTTCGACTCACTAAAATTCATGCAAATCTCACTTAAATCAATTTTTCATACTAAATGGATCTTAATCCATTTTTGTCAGTGCGGGAATGTATGTTTCACGATCTTTAATTGACTTTATATCGATTTAAACTGATCTTTTTTGAAAACTTTAGATCAATTCAAGTGTCTAAAAAGTCGATTTAAGTCGATTTGGATGGATTTCCCTTCTTCTTATAATCCATCGGAAACACACTTAAATCCATTTTTAATCGATTCAAATCGATCTTATTTGAAAATTTGGAATCGATATGAGTCTCTTTAAAATCAATTTAAATCGATTTGGATGGATTTTCAGACTCCTCAAATTCATTTTTTTGCTAACACGGTTAAAAACTCTTAAGTAAAAATAGTTGCCCGCACTGACAGAAATGATTTCCAGTTGATTTGAATTGAATTTAAATGGATTTTAAATCAATCCAAATCGATTAACCATGTACAATTTACGTGCTTAAAAGGATTTTAAATCGATTTAAATCGATAGTTTTGAAAAATTCAAATCGATTTAAGTGTCTAAAAAATCGATTTAAATCGATTTCGATGGATTTTGCGACTCACTAAAATTCTTGCAAATCTCACTTAAATCAATTTTTCATACTAAAATGGATCTTAATCCATTTTTGTCAGTGCGGGAATGTATGTTTTACGATCTTTAATGGATTTTATATCGATTTAAATTCCTTCTCCTTATAATCCATCGGAAATGCACATAAATCTATTTTGAATCGATTCTAAACTTTCCTTCTCTTATAATCCATCGGAAACGCACTTAAATCTATTTTGAATCGATTCTAATTGATCTTATTTGAAAAATTTGAATCGATTTAGGTCTCTTTAAAATCAATTTAAATCGATTTGGATGGGTTTTCAGATTCCTTAAAATCATTTTTTTTTGCTAACACGGTAAAAAACTCTTAAGAAAATAATCCAAATCGATTAACCATGTACAATTTACGAATTTAAATGTATTTTAAATCGATTAAAAAAAATCTTTTTGAAAAATTTGAATCGATTAAAGTGTACAAAAAAATCGACTTAAATCGATTTCGATTGACTTTCCGACCCACTAAAACCGATTTTTTTGCAAACACGGCGAAAAAAAAACATACTCTTTAAAAAAATGTTGTCTTTTTTTATTCTCGAGTTTTTAAACACAAACACTCGTGCCATGTGTTGTAGAATTCAATAAAATGATCCACATAAATCAGGTTTGAAACTCAAAGTTTAGCAATAAAATCGTAGAAGACCATTGTAAATCAGAATATGGGCATAATCTTGTGTAACAAACCAGAAAAAGGTCAGGTAAAATTAAATTGTGATCTCAATATTAAGCAAAATAACCATAGAAAAACATGAAAACAAATCATATTTTAACCAACAACTTATGAAACGAATCCAGAAAAGGGTAAAAAAAGACAGTTTTTGAACTCAAAATATGCAAGATAATCATCGAATTTTATCGATATTTTGGTCTTTTTATTTGGACTTTTCCTGCAACAATACGCTATGGATGAAAAATGAAAAAAGATAGGCAAGAAATAAATGCAATAAATTTTTGAAACTGAAAAAACTCAAATGAAAAAAATTTTTCCGGTCGATATAATTAAATTTAAATCGATTTTAAATCGATCCAAATTGATTAACCATGTACAATTTACGAACTTAAATGGATTTTAAATTGATTTGAATCGATCATTTTAAAAATTTTGAATCGATATAAATGTCTAAAAATTCGATTTAAATCGATTTTGATGGATTTTCCGACTCACTAAAATTCATGCAAATCTCACTTAAATCCGTTTTAAATAGATTAAAAAAGATCTTTTTGAAAATTTAAATCAATTAAAGTGTCTAAAAAAATCGACTTAAATCGATTTCGATGGATTTTCCGACCCACTAAAACCAATTTTTTGTAAACACGGCGAAAAAAAACATACTCTTCAAAACAAATGTTGACCTTTTTTATTCTCGATTTTTTTAACATAAACACTTGTGCCAGGTGTGGTAGAATTCAATAAAATGATCCACATAAATCAGGTTTTAAAATCAAAGTTTTGCAATAAAATCATAGAAGACCATTGTAAATCAGAATATGGGCATAATCTTGTGTAACAAACCAGAAAAGGGTCAGGTAAAATTAAATTATGATCTCAATATTAAGCAAAAAAAAATCAATTTAAATCTGTTTTAATCCCCTTAAAAAAAAACAAAATCAGACTGGAAAAAGGCATATAAATGGATTTAAAATCGATTGGATCAGTTTTTTCAGCTGGGATTTAAGATCAATTCAAATAGATTTTAAATCGATCCAAATCAATCTTCATCTTTTTATTTAAGTTTTTTCATGCTAAAATCGATCTAAATTTAATCAACGTACTTTTTTCATTCTAAAATCGATCTATTTTTTTTCAACATACTTTTTTCATACTAAAAATGATCCTAATCCATTTTTGTCAGTGCGGGTGGAAATTTCTATTCTCGATTTCTGAAAAAGAAACACTAGCGCAAGATGTTATAGAATTCAAAAAAATGATCCACATAAATCGGAATTTAAGCTCGAGAGTAAGCAATGAAATCTTAGAAAATTATTCTAAATCAGATTATGCGAAATTCTAAGTAACAAAGAAGAAAAGTTTCAGATAAATTAAAATTTGATCTCCTTAATATGCAATTAAATCATAGAAAAATATGGAACCAAATCAAATTTTTAGCAAAACTTTAGTCAAGAAAAGGGTCAATAAAGATCAATTTTTGAGCTCAAATATGCAAAAAAATCATAGATTTATGTCGACATTTTGGTCTTTTATTTGGTTTTTTTTATGCTACAATACGCTATGGATGTAAAATGAAAAATGATTGGCGATGGTTAGATGCAATAAAAATTTGAATCTGATAAATCTCGAATGAAATATAATCGATTTGTTTCCGTTTTAATCCCATTAAAAATGAAAACAAATTAAGTGAAATTCGATTTGGATCTTTTTAGCTGGGATTTAAGATCAATTTAAATCAAATTTATATCGATCCAACTCAATATCCCTCTTTTTTATTTTTTCTTTGTACTTTTTCAAACTAAAATCGATCTAAAATTAATCAACGTGCTTTTTTCATACTAAAATCGGTCTAATTTTAATCAACGTTCTTTTTTCATGCTTAAATCGATCCTAATCTATTTTTGTCAGTGCGGGTGGAAGTTTCTAATCTCGATTTCTTGAAAAGAAACACTCTTGCAAGATTTCATAGAATTCAAAAAAATGATCCACATAAATCAGAATTTAAGCTCGAAAGTAGGCAATGAAATCATAGAAAATTATTGTAAGTCAGATTATGCAAAGTAAGAAAGAAGAAAACAGTCAGATAAATTAAAATTTGATATCCTTAATATGCAATTGAATCATAGAAAAGTATGAAACCAAATCAGATTTTTGGCAAAACTTATAAGACGAATCAAGAAAAGGGTCAATATAGATCAATTTTTGAGCTCAAAATATGCATGAAAATCATAGATTTATGTCGACGTTTTGGTCTTTTTATATGGTCTTTTTTATGCTACAATACGCTATGGATGTAAAATGAAAAATGATAGGCGATGAATAAATGCAATAAAAGTTTGAAGCTGATAAATCTCAAATGAATTAAAATCGACTTAATTCCGTTTTAATGCCCTTAAAAATGAAAACAAATTGATTGAAAATCGATTTGGATCAATTTTTAGCTGGGATTTAAGTTTAATTTAAATCAACTTTAAATCGATCCAACTCAATATCCATCTTTTTTATTTTTTTCTTCGTACTTTTTCAAACTAAAATCGATCTAAATTTAATCAACGTGCTTTTTTCATTCTTAAATCGGTCTAAAATTAATCAACGTTCTTTTTACATGCTAAAATCGATCCTAATCTATTTTTGTCAGTGCGGGCCCTTTTTCAGATTTATATGATTGCCTCGTTTTATATATATATATATATATATATATATATATATATATATATATATATATAACATTCGGTTAAAGATTTTAAAAAAATCCCCCTTCCCTTCCATCTATGGTCGAGTAGACGGTTAAAAGGTCCAACGTAGGTAAAGTTCCAAGAGCTCGGCAGTTTCTCGTCTCGTTTCCGCTTGCTCGTTGATCAAAGTCAGTGCAATAAAAGTAGTGAATAAACCAAAAAACAACAATGATAGAAATTGGAATTTAAGTTGGTTCATATTTTAGGTCAACAAGATAATGCTGTTTTTAGTTCTGTGCTTTCAGATAGTTTGTTTACGCATGATTAAAAACAAGAATGAGCCAGAAAAGAATAAATTTGATACTGTTTTGTAAGTTGGTGCGATTTTAATACGGCGGAGCTAGTTTAATCAGATAAAACTAGCTTCAGATACTTAATGAGCTATAAATTCAAAGATTAATAAGACAAACAACATGCATCACAAAGTCTCTTGATCGATAAGATCAAAGTTTCAGCTCACCGACAACATGAAGCCACTTTTAAAAACCGCAACCATATAAAAAATAACAAACGTCAAAAACAAACAAGAAAAGAATTGAAAATCATTATGGAACGTCTAAAAAAGCGACCGTCTCATCTCTGCGTAACTAGCGCATCAAAAATACAAAAATTGGGTGATTACGACAGCGCCGAACAAACTTGAAGATGCTTAGAAAAAACATTAATAGGTCAAACTGGGTTATTTGTGAATTGTGAGAGGATTCCACAAAAAGACCGCTCTCTCTTTGATCTTCCGTTGATCTTCTGTTTTTATGTTTTTTTTCTGACCTCGCAGTGAAACAAAAAACGTGCTCGTTTTGCTCTACACGGATCGGTCAGAAATTTTTTACACAAACCCAAAAGATATAATATTTTTTCCGAAATAACTTTTTAATCATAATGAATAATCTGTTTTTCAATTTGCGTCAAAAACGTTTGAAAATGATATTTAACAGAAATTTGAAAAATCGACTTCATTTTGACGCAAAGCGACCGTAATCGAGAATGTTTTGACCATGCTCGATCGGATTTTGATTTATTTCGAATCTGGCCTAGATTTTTTTCGTTTCTCTTCTGAGGCAAAAATCTCGCCGATTATTTGTTTTTGGTCGATCACTGAAATCTGCCCAGATTGAGAGTCTCAACATATAATGAGCACCTCAAACGGAATAAAAGATTGAATTGGAACTCAAACCGATGTTTGAAGTTTTCAAAACGTTTAAATATTTTTAAAACGTTTTTTAATCGTTTTTGTAGGGAAAAAAAAAGAAAATTTGTCCTAAATATTCACTTTTTATGAAGAATGTGCAAACTCTCCTCATTGATTCAAACAATTTTGATTTCATATAATGCGATAGATAGCAATCAAAAAAGTATAATCAACGGCTGAGTGTATTATCGAAAGATTTACTACAAAATTTTGCTCCACATTTTTAAATACAGCCTGTAAAATAACTGTACGCATATCTGAGATCTGAGATATAATCTAATCCAAAATCTCCATCCCAAGCATACAAAAGTTGGATTTAACATCGCGGAATGTAAAACAAGTAGACAAGTAGAGGATACAAATTTGTTTAAGGACTAAATTTGGTTACTTTTTTAAGGAATTTTTGTCAATAAAATTGCAAATTATAAGCAATCGACTATCAATCATTCAGTGCTGCTACAGCACTGCACTATTTACAACTTTTTCAGCATTGATCAGAATCAAAGTAAACAGAGTCTGATGCAGTACTGGCGTTTTAGTGAAACATTGTTTAAGGTAGTACTGTTTTGCGCTGAGGCAACAATCCTTTCTAAAATGTTCGATCACGGGAACCAAACTAAAAACATCATGTAATAAATTTTTACAAGATCAGGTTTTAATCTATTTTTGTTTCATCCAAATTTTCGAAAAAAGAAAAAATTTTAAAATAGTTTATGGCTGAAATTTTTTTGATTTAGTGCTACACTTGACCGCTTACAATTTTTTGTTGAAGCCCCCTCAATTGACCAGAAAAAGAAACACACAGTACTCCACCCATAAACTTTCTCTTTAATTTGTGACCACAAATAAACTTAAACATCAAACTCATCGTAAAGTGTCTCATTCTTTGCAAGATACTCGTTTACCAATTGCTTTTTACCTCACTCTTTTTACCTAATTACTTTCAACCGATATGTCCCGGTCCAGTTTGGCGTCGAAACAAACAGTGTTGGTATTGGCATCACTTTTATTGCTCTAAACCAATCAGCAAACCGTGCCCAAACTCTGAAGTTTGACAAGTGTTGGCTATTATATTCTAAACTTTGATCATGTAACGCCGTTCAAAAAGTTAATAACAAAAAGTTGGCAATAGCGGTGGCCATGATAACCTTTTTTGATCGAAAAATTACAGTTAAGTTGTCAAAAATTTTTTAAATTTGTCTAGAGACAACGACTTTAGGTTGTTGTTCCGATATTCGTGACGAAAGTAACGGAAGATTAGTCCTTAACATTGTTTAAGGTAGTACTGTTTTGCGCTGAGGCACCAATCCTTTCTAAAATTTTCGATCGCGGGAACCAAACTAAAAGCATTATGTAATAAATTTTTACAAGACCAGATTTTAATCTATTTTTTGTTTTTTCTAATTTTTCGAAAAGAGAAAAAATTTTAAAATAATTTAGAAAGAAACTTATGGCTGAAAAATTTTTGATTTAGTGCTCACTTGACCGTCTATAATTTTTTGTTGAAGCCCCCTCAATTGACCAGAAAAAGAACCACACAGTACACCATAAACTTTTTCTTTCATTTTGTGATCACAATTAAACTTAAACATCAAACTCCTATTAAGTTTGAACAAAAAGATGGTTTTTTTTCTTCAGACAAATTTCGTCTTTTTAACTAGCCATCTAACGGAGATTTTTTTTAATTCATTGATTTTGTTGTCTAATGTTTATGAATTAAACATTAGAAACTCATAAGTATCGCATGAAAATCAAACGTTTGATAGGTCTTTTAACGGTTTTTGAAACGTTTTCAACACATTTGAAGAAACAATTATTTAAAAAACAGTTTGTGAAACTATTCGGAAGTTTTTTCACCGTAAGTTATTCTAAACATAACTATGTATTGCAAAAACATCAAAAAAACTCAAGTGTTCGCCCGAAATGCATAAATAAGACAAACAACATGCATCACAAAGTCTCATGATCGTTAAAATCAAAGTTTCAGCTCACCGACAACATGAAGCCACTTTTAAAAACCGCAACCATATAAAAAAATAACAAACGTCAAAAACAAACAAGAAAAGAATTGAAAATCATTAAGGAACGTCTAAAAAAGCGACCGTCTCATCTCTGCGTAACTAGCGCATCAAAAATACAAAAATTGGGTGATTACGGCAGCCCCGAACAAACTTGAAGGTGCTTAGAAAAACATTAATAGGTCAAACTGGGTTATTTGTGAATTGTGAGAGGATTCCACAAAAAGACCGCTCTCTCTTTGATCTTCCGTTGTTCTTCTGTTTTTTTATGTTTTTTTTCTGACCTCGCAGTGAAAACAAAAACCGTGCTCGTTTTGCTCTACACGGATCGGTCAGAAATTTCTTACACAAACCCAAAAGATATAATATTTTTTCCGAAATAACTTTTTAATCACAATGAATAATCTGTTTTTCAATTTGCGTCAAAAACGTTTGAAAATGAGATTTAACAGAAATTTGAAAAATCGACTTCATTTCGACGCAAAGCGACCGTAATCGAAAATGTTTTGACCATGCTCGATCGGATTTTGATTTATTTCGAAACTGGCCTAGATTTTTTTCGTTTCTCTTTTGAGGCAAAAATCTCGCCGATTATTTGTTTTTGGTCGATCACTGAAATCTTCCCAGATTGAGAGTCTCAACATATAATGAGCACCTCAAGCGGAATACAAGATTGAATTGGAACTCAAACCGATGTTTGAAATTTTCAAAACGTTTAAATATTTTTAAAACGTTTTTTAATCGTTTTTTTAGGGAAAAAAAGAAAATTTGTCCTAAATTTTCACTTTTTTATGAAGAATGTGCAAACTCTCCTCATTGATTCAAACAATTTTGATTTCATATAATGCGATAGATAGCAATTAAAAAAGTATAATCAACGGCTGAGTGTATTATCGAAAGATTTACTACAAAATTTTGCTCCACATTTTTAAATACAGCCTATAAAATAATTGTACGCATATCTGAGATCTGAGATATAATCTAATCCAAAATCTCCATCCCAGGCATACAAAAGTTGGAGTTAACATCGCGGAGTGTAAAACAAGTAGACAAGTAGAGGATACAAATTTGTTAAAGGACTAAATTTGGTTACTTTTTTAAGGAATTTTTGTCAATAAAATTGCAAATTATAAGCAATCGACTATCAATCATTCAGTGCTGCTACAGCACTGCACTATTTACATCTTTTTCAGCATTGATCAGAATCAAAGTAAACAGAGTCTGATGCAGTACTGGCGTTTTAGTGAAACATTGTTTAAGGTAGTACTGTTTTGCGCTGAGGCAACAATCTTTTCTAAAATGTTCGATCACGGGAACCAAACTAAAAACATCATGTAATAAATTTTTACAAGATCAGGTTTTAATCTATTTTTGTTTCATCTAAATTTTCGAAAAAAGAAAAATTTTAAAATAATTTAGAAAGAAGTTTATGGCTGAAAATTTTTTGATTTAGTGCTACACTTGACCGCTTACAATTTTTTGTTGAAGCCCCTTCAATTGACCAGAAAAAGAAACACACAGTACTCCACCCATAAACTTTCTCTTTAATTTGTGATCACAAATAAACTTAAACATCAAACTCATCGTAAAGTGTCTCATTCTTTGCAAGATACTCGTTTACCAATTGCTTTTTACATCACTCTTTTTACCTAATTACTTTCAACCGATATGTCCCGGTCCAGTTTGGCGTCGAAACAAACAGTGTTGGTATTGGCATCACTTTTATTGCTCTAAACCAATCAGCAAACCGTGCCCAAACTCTGAAGTTTGACAAGTGTTGGCTATTATATTCTAAACTTTGATCAAGTAACGCCGTTCAAAAAGTTAATAACAAAATGTTGGCAATAACGGTCGCCATGATAACCTTTTGTGATCAAAAAATTACAGTTAAGTTGTCAAAAATTTATTAAATTTGTCTAGAGACAACGACTTTAGGTTGTTGTTCCGATGTTCGTGACGAAAGTAACGGAAGATTAGTCCTTAACATTGTTTAAGGTAGTACTGTTTTGCGCTGAGGCACCAATCCTTTCTAAAATTTTCGATCGCGGGAACCAAACTAAAAGCATTATGTAATAATTTTTTACAAGACCAGATTTTAATCTATTTTTTGTTTATTCTAAATT